AGTGTAGAGAACATTGATGTGGGCCCCACAGCTGTGGTCCCACTCTRTCCGTAGGGTAGAATGTATCTAGTCACAGCTGTGGTTATTTTGCTATTCTGTTATTTCTAGTTTCAGTTTATATTGTTTGTTATTTGTTAGCAGATGTAAACACCAAGGTCAGATATGTCCTTTCATGTAACTAGCATAACCTATATATATTAACTTAAAGTGGCGGCGGCAGAATATTGACATTCTGTTCTTCTCCTCAAAATTTGTGTTCTACTGCTCTTTCACCACTCTTTCTTCTACTTCTTCTTCACTTTTCTTCTCATCGAACCTGAAATCTCTTAGTGGTCAAGACTGACTAGCAGTCTTGAAAACCTACAATATTAAACCCATATGGCCCCAGAGCCTTATCACCCTTCAATAACCTAACCACTCCCCGAACCTCCTCCTCATCAGATTTACTTTCCAACCACTCCATCAACTCCCCTATTTTGTTGAGTTCCAAGTCCCTAAAAAACATTTTCTACCCTGTGAAGATTTAAACAACTCCTTGTAAAATTCTTTTATTGCCTCCTCTATCTCCCTTTGACTATCCACAAAACTCTCTCCTTCCTCAAATCAAAAAATAATTTTCTTCTCCTTTCCCTTGCTACTGCATGAAAAGAAAAAATAGTGTATTCTTATCTCCTTCCTGCAGCCGTAATGCTCTTATTTTTGTCTCCACATTACCTCTTCAAAATGAACCAATTTCTCCAATTCCTCCTTAATCCTTTCTCTTTCACATCTTCCTTCTCTTGACAAATTATTTTCTTCCTCCAATTTATCTAGTCTTGCCATCTTTCTTAGTAAATTATCAAGTTTCCAAATACCACTTTATTCCACACCTTTAAATCGTTCTGTAAGCAATTGCAATTTCTTCATATTGCAGTTGATTGATTTTTTTTTTTGTAGATTGTACAATGGGAGTGTGGGAGAGTTGCTGACACATAGGAGATTGGTGGAGAGGAGCATACCTTGCAAGGATAAATCTAGAGTATGATATTATTCAACAGCATATCCTTACATGTGGAGGCTTATGTCTCTCCAAGTTTATGCTCTGGCGCATTGTGAGGAGAGTAAGAGGAAAGTCATGTACATCGATCACCTAATTTCACTACACGTGTGGACACATTGAGACCTAGGTTAGTCCAACAGAGTTGTGTTAATCGTGTAGAGGTGGAAAAAAAGGAGATGGTGTATGAGCATTGCAAAAGACCCAAGCATACAAAGGATACATGCTGGAAGTTGTATCCCCATTTGAAGACTGCAGACTTGAGGTGGCATGAAGGGCAATGCTAATGTTGTCATTAGATAATCTAATGAACAAGCATCTTCTACTACTGCACTTAGTCGTTCCTGCCAAGAGACACTTGCACTAGATTAAGCATAATTTGAAAATTTTGGGGTGCAACTTGGGCAGGCTCAGGGTGGGATTTTGTTAAAATTTCAATGGGATTGACTCGCAAACCCAAGCACAATAAAATGTAAATTCTTCAAGTTGGGTACCAAACTATGAAAAATATAGCAAGTAGTGTGAAACAGTGGAAACATATTTGAGGGCTTAAAAGTAAAATCCTAGTCAAAAGCATAGAGCAGAACCACCTCATAGGATGCGACTGTCAAACAAAACAACATGACCTTGCAAAGCCAAGCAGAACCACACAAAGGAACCTCACTAGGTCATGAGGAAAAACCTTGCAAGGTATAACCTGTGAACACACAGCACAAACAAGGCTCGTGAGTATCAACTTGTCCCCAAAAATCCAACTTCACAACTATATTCAACCTCGTGAGGTCGAATCAGAACCTCAATGCTCAAAAGCTTATAATCCAACCTCGCAAGGCCAGATCAATACCTCAATGCTCAAAAGCTGATAATCCGACCTCACAGCTACACTTGACTTTGCAAGGCTAGATCAAAACTTCAATGTCCAAAAGATGGTAACCTAACCTTAAACCTACATTTGAACTTTTGAGGCCAATTTAGAGCCTCAGAACACAGGCACTGCTTTAAGAACCATCAAACGGGTGATTGTTGCCTCAGGGAAACTACGTCTGGCCATACTGATATGCGCCACCTTAGGGGAGAGAAAGGCAGGATTTGTTGTCCCCCAGGCATTAGTCATGGTTGAGGATATTACGACCTCCATATAAATAAATGAATCACGTAGCTCTTGTTTCCCCACTTCCATAAATAAATGAATCACAACCTCCAAAGGGGCATTCGATCCCATTAATCCCTTACCTAGGCTTAGCCATTTTCCAAACCTTTTGCCAACCTACTCTCCTAGTTCTAGAGGTGTTTCTTGATCCGCTTTCAAGACTATCAGATCACCCTTATTACTGTTGGCAGTTGGCTTACATCAATAATCACTGGTTACAGTCTTGACCAAAGAAAGAGATGTTGCCATGGAGAGCTTTTCAGATGAGAGCTAACAAAACATAACCGCCGCCGCTGGAGGACCTAGTACAGCCAGATCTGCTGGCATTGGATGTGGAGATTCCCTTAACAAATGACGAGCAACCAAATGACAATTGAGCCAATTTGGCTAGCAAGATGTACAATCTTGAAGACCGGCTCGATAAAATGGAGAAGTTACAGAAAGAGAATGGATCAAATGGAACGAAAACAAGATTAGTTGTTCCAACTATTACAAAGTCGCTTTGAAAAACAGAAGAGCATATCGGTAGCATTAGCTTCACTAGATCCAGAACAGGCGGTCCTAATAAGTATTCACCAAGCCATTAGTACTACTGAGATCTATGTCACCAAAGCCACCATCACCAACACAACACTGGCCGCCATCACCAGCAGTAGTAGATTTGAGTTCAGCATACCTGAGCAATGGAAGGATAAGATGAAGCACTTTACAAAGGATGAACTAATGGATTGCTTGTGGTCCATCTCAGGGATGAAACCAAAGCATCCAGCTTACCAGAGACCCTACCATATCAGTGTCACGCAAAAAACCTATTTACCAGGATACCAACCACCATCAGCCTGGAAACTATATGATGGATAGTCCAACAGCACTAGAGAGCACCTAAGAAAGTTCAAAGATGACCTAGGTCCTTTTTTTACTAATGGAGATTTGAAGATCCGTGAGTTTTCCAAAACGCTCGTAGGCCTTGCTTACACTTGGTTTGTGAATCTAGCACCGAACAGCATTTGCACTTGGGATGATTTGGTGGAGAAGTTCTTGATGAAGTAGTTTATTGTGGAGAGGATATTGACAATGGCAGATCTACAAAATGCCAGGCAATATAGTTCAAAAGACCTTGGAGCATATGTATCAACTACCAAGGTTCAAAAGAGAGTAGCAGCAAGTTTATGAAGAACACATGGAGAAGGATTTTATAAATGAATGCATTCGCAGTATGCACCCATGGTACCGCATCTATTTGGAGAACTTGGGTATTCAAGATTTCTCAAACCTTTTGCAGTGTGTTGAACGTACCATTCGTTCAATAAAGAGACCTTTGGAGTAGAGGTGGGGATAGCAACAAAGACAAAAAGCATACGCAGTAGGCTCCCAAAGAGGGAGATTCTCCAAAGGGGGTGAAGCAGCAGCAGCAGTATAGGCATAAGGTCGCCATGATGCTCACCCATGAGACCATATTGCAAAATCCTGTCCCTATTCCCCTATGCAAGGAAGTCCTCATCATGAAGTGACTCATTGACGAGGGGAAAATTGAGAAATGCTCTGTATTACTGATAAAAAATCAATTAGTTAGTGTTTAGAACATTGGAAGAGAGTTCAATTCATGCATGGAGTCATGGATAAACTAAGTCAGTAAAAATCTTTATATTGCATTGAAATATCATTTTTAGAGATTATCATTGAAGAACTTTACCCTTAAACCATTAAGGTTTCTATCGGAGGCAAAGCTAGGCATGATGAATCTCTATACTCAGCTTGAGAAGAGTGTTGACATATAAATGCATGTATGGGCTGTCTTCTCTTATTTATTACTTGGCTGTTAGTGGGCTTGGGCTAAACTATCATTTAGTTATTTTTCATTTCTGTCCAATCAACTTATTAAGGGCAGAGATGTAATTGTACTTTCATTTCAAGGAGTTGATGTAAAAGTTAGTGAAATCTCAAACTTAGTCCTACAATAGGAGTTTTCTTCCTCCACATTCTTTCACTTCTCTCTTATTCTTCTTGCACATCTATTTTGTGTAGTCTTTCTTACCTAGTTTCTACTACTTTTTGGATTTATTCTTGAAGATTAACTGCTCAAAATACCAAGTCTATCAGAAAGAGAGAAAACTATCTTACATATTGCTACTCACGGGCACTTCATGAGAATGTTCTTCAATGCAAATCTCTTCATTCTTGTTTTCAGACTGCCCATCTTGGATTAACCAATCAGAAATGGTATTCTCTTCCTGTTGGACTGCAATTTTCTTCTTTTTCTTTTTCTTTTTCTTCTCCGTCACCTCGTTGATATTGTCATTCTCATTAGATTGTAATGAGTCACCATGCTTGTAGCTTCCTCTGTTTAGTTCAAACAAGATATGATAGCACCAATTAATGAAACACATACACACACTTGAGCATACAACAATTAGGAAAGAGAATATGAAGAGCAAAGAGAAAAATTTTCAATACAAAGCACAAAACAGGAGAAAAATTGCTTACATTTTATGATTAAGGGGTTTTTCATGCAGTTTATCTCCAATGTCATGCTCTTGTTTCACGCTTTGAACCATTGTCTTAGACTGCTCATCTTGGTCCACTCTATCATTGAGGATATTCTCTTCCTTCTCCACAATTCTTCTCTTCTTCCTCTTCTTTGGTGCCTCATTTTTCTCATTCTTATCCTCATAAGATGGCAATGATGAATCACAAGACTGGTCTTGCCCTCTGCTTAGCCTTAGATCAAATGACAAGTATTACTACAAAGACAGATGAATATGCACACATTTAAAAATATTTATTAATGTAACAAGTAATATAAATGGCAGTGACAATTTTTTTTAATCAATCACCTTTTTCCTGCAGCAACACCAATCTCAGGGCACATATCTTGATGGTCATCTCCATCTACCTTCTCTCTCTCTTTCTCTTTGACTTTGTTAGCTGGCTTTTCAACTGAAGTTACTTTTGATTCAACATTTTTAACATCATTTTTGCTCTTGAACAGGGAAGAAATGGGAAATTTATCCTCATTGTCATTCAAAATCACAGCTGTATTAACTTTTTTGACAATGTTTGGTTGTTCAGGAGGCTCAGTATCCCCATCTGAGTCACTGACCATATACTTTTTCTTAAGACGCTTTGGTCTAGAATTGCCACTTTTTTTGCTTTCAAGGTTGAAGCTTGGCGTTAAACGGATCCCATCGTCACCTAAATATCCAAACAAAATGCAAATTCACATAAATGCAAATGAAACATTTTACCTAGAGAATAATTCTCTGCTTACATGGAAACAGCCTCTCTGTATGTGTGGGGGTATTGCATATTGTTGAGATTTGTTTGGATGCAAGGGTATTCTTGTCTTTTTGTTCTTTTGTATTTGGGTGTTCTTTTGTATTTGGGCACCTATATGAGGGTTTTCTTGTAATTTCTCTCAATAGTATAAAATTCCAAGTTTGAGAGAGTGAATAGTAACTATGTCTTCTCCATTCGAACCTTCTTCTTCTCTTCTCTTCTCTTCTCCTTTTCTTCTTGTTTTCTTTCTCAATAAAACCTAGATATTGTAACTTGGTATCAGAGCAACTAAAAGGTCGTGGGAGAGTCTTTCTCTACTTGTTTTTGCTCAGAGGGTGAGCTGCTAACGCCAGACCACCGTCGGATGCTTGTTTATCTTGTTTGATGGGTTTTTATTCTACAAAACCTGGTTCTTCTAGGTCGTTTTATATTTTGGGAATGACGGGAAGTGGTCCCATATTTTTCTGAACCATAAAAAATTTTTGGGAGTTTTTCTTCTCCCTCTATTTTGCCGCCAGCCAGCTTTTTGGCCCCTTTTCTAGCCTTTAACCGAGTTTGACCCTTCCTTTTGGGTTTGTTTGTACTTCAGTTGGGCATTGGGGTGCTTCTTGGTTGCCGAAATAGTTGTTTGTGAGGTATGGAATCACCGAAAGATGTACAGATGGGTTCTACTGTGTTTCCTGGAAATGTTGATGTTTCTAGTGGTATGATAACCACCGTAAAACCTGATGGGACCAACTTTCTGGAGTGGTCCCAATCATGGTTTCAAATGTCGCGAAATGTCGCTAATGTCACCCGACATATGTCGATGTCGAGGCTCATCGACAAGAAAATGGATGGAAATATAAAAATTACATTATTTCGATCGACATTTCCTATATTTCGTAAATGTCGACCAAATCGATCCAAATAACCAAAAAAAGGATAGTTTTTCCTATTATATCGAAAGGATGTCAACTAATGTACATTAATAATATAATATATTAGTATATTATATTATGATAACACAATATATTAATATAAATTATTCCATTAATAATTTCTATTTAATATTTCAAATAAAATATTTATAAAAAAGAATTAACAAAATATAAAACAAAAGAATAAATTAATTATTTTATAATATAAAACATCAAATATTTTTCAAGTACTAAAATATTAACTAGTTAGTATTTTTTTAAATATTTATTAAAATCAGAAAATGTTTATTAAATTTTTAATAAATCATATTCTACATTTAATATAAAAAATCAGAATATATTTATTAAATTTAACTTTCCCATCTAGGAGGAAAGCTGCTAACACTTGAATGGGACAAAAATTCCCATTTTAGTAATGGAATATTTTTATGACTAAAATGGTCATTACCTTATTTACCTAAGAAATAAAAGAACATGGGTAAATGCACTTACCCGGGTAAGTGTTTCCCAGGAAAAATTTACCTAGGTAATTGCATTTGCTCGGGTAAGTAACTTACTGAAAAGCGACCGGGGCCTTAATACTACAAAAAGAAGAATCAGTTTATTAAATTTATAATAAATCAAAAATGTATTATAACTTTAATATTTAAAAATCAGAATAAATGTATTTCTATTTCGTAAAGAGACTGGGCCGAATGGGCCCTAACAGCCTTTCGTGTGATATCCTTTATTTTATCTTTTATTTTATGTTGATGGGCCTCACTTAATGGGCCTGTTWTYTGTTCTTATTTTAYTTTCTTTRTGTAACTRCYAAGYTGGCCGCCCACTTAAGGGTATACTTGTCATCATCAATTTTTTAGAGATTAATAAAATAGGGTTAGAAGACAAGGGTGATTTATTCGACTTCTTCTTTTCTAACCTCTTCTCTTCGCCATCTTCCTCTCTTATACAGTTATTCAAATCTGTTCTATTTTGCTAATCACTAAGTTTAATCTTGATATTAGAGGACTGATTTACATCTTATTTACTAGTGTGAAATAAATATATTAGAATTTATAATAATCAGAATTAAAAATAAGAAAAGAAAATATCAGATAACCTTGTAAAAACACCAAACTGCATAATAAATCAGTAAATCGTCATTTACTAATTTGTTATTGATCTTAGTTTCTTAGCTTTATATAATGGTTGGGAATAAGGTAATAGTCTAGAAATATGTATTAATGTTTTCTTTTATCATTTTACAAAATATCATTGCATATTTCCACAATGTCTCTAATTTTTACAATATTTCCCCTCGACATTTCCGACATATGTCCTATATTTTGGTAAGCGACATTTCCATCGACATCGACATTTTAAACCTTGGTCCCAATCGACTAAACTTACTATCACAAGGAGAGGTAAGGTGGGATTCATTACATGCAAGGAGGTGAAGCCGAAAATTGAAGACCCTAAGTTTGCAAAGTGGGAATAGGATAATTCACTGGTAATGTCTTGGCTGGTCTGTTCAATGTAACCTCACATTGCTCGTAACTTACATGTTCCTCTCGACTGCTAAAGATATTTGGGATAGGGTTGTCACCACTTACTCACAGGTTAACAATACTGTTAGAGTATATTAGCTTAGGAGATAAGCTTGTAATATGGGTCAGGGGAAGAGAATAGTAGCTATGTATTTCTCCTCTCTACAATCTCTTTGTTTAAAAATGGACCATTTGAAAACTTTTGAGTGGAAGGATCCTATAGATGTCGAGCAGTACAGGAAGTACATTGAGGAGAATAGGGTCTTTGACTTTTTGGTTGACTTAAATCCAGAGTTTGATTTCACTAAGCAGCATATTCTGAGTACGGGCATTGTCTCTCTGGCTACAGCTTACTCTCTTGTGCAAAGGAAAGAAAGTAGGACAGCCATGACGCAACCCTCTGTGATTGAGCACTCTGCCTTTATGTCCTCTAAGCCTAGGCCAAGTGGTAGTAAGCATCCTACTACTGAGAAATCTGATGATGTCATCTACAAATATTGCAACAAGCCGAGGCATACTAAGGAGAGATGTTGGATACTCAATCCTCACTTGAAACTAGACAAGTTTAAAACTGGAAAGAAAGGGAATGCTCATTTGGCCACAGTTGGTAACGAGGGTCAATCTTCTGATGTGACCATTTTACCTCTTGACTCCTCTGACATGATGGATAAACTTCAGAGTCTTCTATTACACTTGAAAAGAGTAGGGCATCCTCCTCATCTGGGTCCAATAATCCATCCAGTGCATATCCTAACACAAGTATTGTACTTGCTTGTTCCACATCCAACCCATGGATTGTTGACTTGGGCTAGTGCCCATATGACTAGTATGCCTTCACACTTTACTTCATATAAACTAACCCCTGGAAAGGGCAAGATTATTGTTGTAGATGGATCTCAAACCCCCATCTCAGGTCAAGGAGAAGTCGGACTTACCCATAACATTTCCCTTGGATCTGTTATTCATGTTCCTTAATTGCATAAAAGCTTATTATCTGTTAGTTCTCTTACCAAGTCCCATAATTGTTTTGTAACCTTTTTCTACCCATTGTGTTTTTCAAGATTTGAGTACAAGGAAGATGATTGGAAGTGGGCATGAAATTGATGGAGTCTACCTTTTTTATGAAGCTTCAGCATATGGATTGTTGAGCCAGGATGAGTCTTGTTCTAATGAGAAATTGAGTCTTTTGCAACTATAGCATTGTCATCTTGGTCATATATGTCTTCTAAGTTTGTAAAACTTTTGTTTCCAAATTTGTTCACTTCAGTGTCCAATTTGAATCCTCAATGTGAAGTTTGTCATTTATTCAAACAATGTAGAACCACATATTTTGCAAGTAATAAAAGAAATAATGTTGCTTTCCATAATTCATACTGATGTTTGGAGCCTATATACCATTCCATGCATGGGTGGGTATAGATACTTTATTCTCTTCATTGATGACTACACTCGATATACATGGCTCTACTTGATGAAACCATAGTTTTCAAGGTGCCAAGGTGAGGCTAGACGACAAAGAAGAACATTCAAAAAATATAAGGGCGAAACCCCTATTTTTGTTATAGGAAAAGAAGAAAAAAGTAGTAGTAGAAAATATGTTGATTAGACAAAATTTTAAGTTCTTCCTTACTTATTGGTTCAGGTTTTAAAGTCTTTGAGGGTTCGATACAGCATTTAGCAATGTTTGTACTGATTAAACCCTAACAAATAAGAAAATACTAAAAGAAATTAGTATATAAACAGATAAAATGAATATTTTAGTTTAATAGTGCCTATTTTATAATTATAATGACTTGAAAGAAGAACCGTTTACTGTATTAGAGAAGTAATACAGGTTTGAAGAGAAGAAAGAGAGAGAGAGAGAGAGAAGAAGAAGAAGAAGAAGAAGAAGAAGAGTGAAGAGAGGAGAAAAGAAAGAAGGGGTTCGGTGGTTAATGATCTGCCACCCCATATATTTCTTTATTTATAGCTTTAGGTTTCTTACAAGAATAGGAAATAAACAAAAATTAGAAACAATAAGGCCAATTAGCCCAACTTAAAAGAAATTAGAAACTTCTAATAAAAGAAAATAAAAACTACTAATAAAAGAAATTAGAAACTTCTAATAAAAGAAAATAGAAACTACTAATAAAAGAAATTAGAAACTACTAATTAAAAAAATTAGAAACAACTAGGTGTGGGCATGAAACCACACACACTAGAGCCTAAGTGTGGGTATAGAACCCCACACTCATGGCTAACCAACTATATCTTCACTCCCCCTCAAGTTGTGAGTAGATATTTGTCATGCCCAACTTGCATAGTTTTGTCTCCAATTTGCTTTTTGTGACTGCTTTGGTGAAGAGATCAGCTAACTGCATGTCTGAGGCAATGTAAGGAAGGCATACTTTTTGAGATGCAACTCGCTCTCAGATAAAATGTCTATCAACCTCGATATGCTTAGTCCTGTCATGTTGTATTGGGTTGTGGA